AATAAAAACCTAAAAAAAAAAAAAAAAAAAAAGAGGCAATATTCTTTTGAAGGAATCCTGGTGTGCCACTTCAAGATAAGCTCTAGACTGCAAGACTGATTTGAAGCACAAAGTCGGCAGTTCGAACTCACCAGCTGCTCCTCGGAAACCTTATGCAGCAGGAATAGGGAACCTTTTTTCTATCAAAATTTATAACATCATTTCGCAGGCCATACAAATTACCAACTTAAAAATTAGTCTGTTATATTAGGTCAAACATTTAATTAACTCACCCCTAATGTGCTGGTGTGGCGCAGTGGGTTAATGCACTGGACTGCAAGGTCGGCAGTTCAAACTCACCAGCCACTCCTCAGAAACTCTATACAGAGTCACTATAAGTCGGAACCAACTCAACGGCACTTAACACCAACAATAATAATGCAATGGCTGAAACTGTGTTGCCTCGGCCAAATGATTTCCGGACATTCCCCACCCCTGAGTTGGAACCAACTTGACAGCACTTAACAATAACAATTATTTGGAAAGGATATACTCTTCCTACTAAACTGAGTAGACAAGATTTTTGGCACACGCCCTACAGACCAGATCCTGTGCATCAAGCTCTCAGTTCTGGAGTTATAAGGAATATTTTAGTATACAGCAGTTACTACATTGACATGTATATGAAAAATGACTTACCAGCAGATTTTTGGCACTACAACATAAGCAGCAGGTCATAGATCTGATATCCGAAATACAGTTTTTCCACTCTTTTCCATGTTCACTCAAGTCATAGTTGGGAAAGTGTATTGCCAGATATTCTGCAATCAGTAGAAAGTATCCATGATAATCAGAAGAAATTAACAAAGAAACTGGCGATGAAATTTTTATTTAAAGTAAATAGCGAAATTTTCTATCTCTAATTGTCCTAACTCTTTGAGAATTTAGAAATCCCACATGAGTTGACTTTGCTGTATTATTTCATCCCTTTTAACATGGAATTCCCAAAAACACCGATCTAGAAAAGTCAATGGCGAGGTTTGGTGCTTTTAAAAAGTATACCAAAACATGGAGTTCTGGTGTAGTTCTATAGGATAAGCACTAAACCACAAGATCGGTCTGAACTGCTAGATTGGCGGTTCAAATTCATCAGTCACTCCTCGGAAACCCTATATAGGGTCACCACTATGAGTGGGAACCTACTCAATGACACTTAACAATCCTGGTGTGGTACTGTAAGGCACTGCACTGCTAACCACAAGGTTGGTAGTTTATACCTACAAGCCACTCCTTAGAAACCGTACCCAGGGTTGCTATGAGTTGGAACCAACTTTACGGCACTTAACAAACAACAATACAATTTGAGGAACTCCGTGGTGCTGCAGATAAACACAGGACCTCAAGGTCAATTTGAACTGCAAGGTAAGCGGTTCAAATCCACCTGCCAATCCTCAGGGTCGCTATGTGTCGGAAACAACTCAATAACACTTAGCAACAGAGGTGCAATGATTAAGCACTCAGCTGCTAATCGAATGGTGAGCAGTTCAAACCCACCACCTGCTTTACAGAAGAAAGATGTTGCAGTCTGCTTCCACAAAGATTTATAACCTTGAAAACCTATGGGTTTCTAGTGTACAATATGGTGGCTATGCGTACGAACTGGCATGACAGTAATGGGTTTTATTTTGGTTAGGAATATCATTTAACAACCTGCGTTCAATTGCTGGCCAATACTCCTCATGCAAAGCCACCACTTTTCTGTCAAAAGAAGCATAGTGCTATGAACAGGTTACAGTGGCTGCTGTTTTCAGTGTTGTCACTCACTAGCATAAAGATGTATGTTTTAGTACCCTACATTTTTGCCCCCCTCTTTTTAAAAGTCCCAAAAGCCAGTACTTTTTTAAAAAGTAACTACAATCAATAACATTACCTTATGGAAATTGTTACCCATTACAAGTTATTTAAGTTATAAAATTGGGGTCAGGCAGATGAAAACATGAACAGTTCTAAGATTTACACAAAATACATTATTATTTCTTCAACTACCACCCTTCATAAGTGATGATGAAAAAGGACTCCATGCTTACTTAACATACCTCGTATTGCAGCCAGTTTGTTTAGGTGCAGGGGCTGATGGCCTTGGAAACTGCCACCCACTGAGCTGCACATTAGGACTTCCTTGGAAAACAGATGACGCGCCAAGTAGCGAGCTGCATATGTAGGGTTGCCCTTCTTTTGTGCTGCCAACAAATGGGTGTCAAGTATCTTGATATTTCTTTTTGGATCACCAAGATATCCTTTAAAAAATATAGGAAAAATGTAAAACAAGTTTCTAGGCACTTGCATGAATTCATTAAATGGGACTCTCTGATGCCATTGGCCCAACTATCAACGTTCTCCACCTTTGCTAGTCTTGAATTTGCTGTACTTGAATTAATCTATTCACTGTCTTGGGCAAATGTAATTCTGAGGCTGCATGCTACCGTGAAATCTCATTGCTTCTTTTATACTCTCAGGGTGCACTCAGTTGTATTACCAAATAGTTCTACATTCCCTGGAGACAATGGGAAAGTACGCATGGGTATAATTAGAAAATCTTAAAATACTGAGCATTTATTATCTACTATGTATCAGATACTAAGGAGCTCTGGTAGCGTAGTGGTGACAAATTGGGCTACGAACCTTAAGGTCAGCAGTTTGAAACTAACAGCTGTTCTACGGGGGAAAGATGAGGCTTTCTGCTCCCGTGAAGATTTACAGCCTCGGAAACCCTGTGCAGGGTCGCTATGAGTCAGAACCGACTCCATGGCACACAACAACATGTATCAGATACTATGCTAAATATATATATATATATATATATATATATATATTATCTATGAGCTTGGTTTCATCTTCTTACATTATTCCCACTTAGTAGATGGGGAAAATGAGTCCTAGAGAAGATTTTTAGTTGAACAAAAATCACACCGCTCATGAGAAACTCAGTTTTGAAACTTCCATCTGTTTATCAACCAAGGACTCTGAATCAGTAATCTTCTGCTAGTATCTTCCAGTCTCTTTAATTTTTATTTCTATCTTTTTAAAACACAAAACTGAAATTAAACTATATATGCAGTCTGAATCTTGATTTTTCAGTTAACATATGTATTTAGCATTTCTTTTTTTTTTTTTTAAGTCTAAGTCACTGTCATCATATTTTTCATGACAGGTGGCATTTATGTTACACTTACTATGTGCCAGATATAATGTTAAGAGCTTTAAATGCATCATTATCTCATTTGATACAACAATTCAATGAAGTAGGTACTATTATTTTTGTCACCTCACAGGTTAAGTAAACTAAATTTAGTTTAAAGAAGTGGCTGAAGATCACAGGGTTAATAAGACATAAACCTGGGATTTGAACCATGCAGTCTGACTCAAGAACCCATTCTTTGAACCATTATGCTTTGATATGCTGTGGATACAGCAGGAGTCACCTAATTCCCTATTGTTGCTTGGTTTTGTTTTGTGGGTTCCCCCCCAAATTTTCATGACTCTAGAAAGGATATTCTTACTGTAAAATTTTTATAGAAAATCTGTTTTTTATTATGCTTTTGGATAAATTCCTAAAAGTGTGATTACTGAGTCAAATAGTTTGAATATTTTTCTGACTTTTGACACAAACGGTCCTTCAAAAAGACAGCATTAATTTATACTACTAACAGCAATGTATAAAAGATGCACATTTTAGTACAGCACATAATAATTGAAGTTTCTTGTAGTTTGGGTAACAAAGTAAAGGAAAAGTTCTCCTCTAGGGCAGGGGTCAGCAATCTATACTACACTGGCCAATTCTGCTGCCTGTTCCTGTAAATAAAGTTTTATTGGTACACAAATCCTGTCCGTTTGTTTTAAATATTGTATGTGGTTGCATTCATGTGGCTATACCAAAGCTGATTACAACAGAGGCCATATAGCCCACGAAGTCTAAAATACTTACTTTCTAGCCCTTTACAGAAAAGGATTACTAACCTCTGTTAGAGGACTTTAGCAAACAGATTAGCTGTGAAACCATAATCTCTTCTATCCTGAAACCAGAACAGATAGTGTCTGGCTACCACTACTGAGTTCTAATCAGGACCACAAAAGATGGACCCTGATAGAATAGAAGAGATATGTAGAACATATCAAATTCCTAAATTTAAAATAATTGGAAAAAAAAAAAAACAGACTCATTGGACTAGTTGAGAATGGGGGGCTCCTCAAGACTACTGTCCTAATACTCTTTAAACCCTGAACAGAGACTAGCCCCTGAGGTCCCCTTATAGCTAAATAACAAATTGGTTCCAAAGATGATGAATTATCACCTGTAAGTACTGTGTTACTTTGACATTTTTGAGACCAAACAGTCAACAATTACTTTAAAACAAAGATGCCAATGTAAAGGGGCAAGGAAACCAGTTTAAAGGAAACAGAACAAAAATAATGAGAGTGGTTCACTTCTTGTGAAGAATGTAACCAATGTCACTGAACAACCTGTATAGAAACTGCTGTATAGGAACCTAAACCTTCATTAAAAACACAATAAAACACTATTTTTTTTGTAAAGAAGAGATCAATTGCTTAAAGACACAAAGGAACTATAAACATTACGAAAGTTTACTCTTAGAGGCCTGTGGAAATTGATGAATTCTCAACTCTGCCACTAGGGCTAGGCAGGCAATACAGTTATTGTTATTAGAAATGCTACTACTGTTTTTATTAAAAATGCTACTACTGGCTTGCACTGAGGGTGCTGATGAATCTAGATTAAATATTACTGTTTGTAAGATGTGCCATCTCAAACTCACCAAAATTGGGGATGCGGCTGCTAGTAGTTGGAGAAGTATCTTGGTCATTGTCCCTTTCCAATAAAGATGGGTTATCCATTTTCTCAGAACTCTCTTTCATGGTGGTTTGTACTTTATCCAGCATTTCTAAAAATAAAATATTTTTCAAGTGCCATTAAGAAAATAATTTTCACTTGCATATTCTATATCTGGCAAAAGTATCCTTAAAGAAAAACTTTTAAGACAATAAAAAGAGCAGAAATATACCTGTAGATACACAAAAGCATTCATACATTGTTGGTGAGAATAGAAAATGCTATATTCACTCTGGAAAGCACTCTGGCCATTCCCTATAACACTAAAGATGCAATCATCATACAAACCAGCAACTGCACTTATGGATAGTCATTCCAGAAGAATGAAAATTTATATTTTAAAAACGCCTGTACATAAGTGCTTATAGCAGCTTTAATCAGAAAAGCAAAATAAAAAATGGAAACAAACAATATCTCTTACAACATGTAACTGGAAAAGCAAAACTGAGGCACATCCAACCCATGGAATATTACTGAGCAATGAAAAAGCTATTAGTATACTATTAGTATACCAGATGGCCTGGATGAGTTTTCAGAAAATTATGCTGAGTGAAAAAACAAATTCCCAAAGGTGGCAATACCATATGATCCCCATTATCTAACAATCTTGAAATGACAAAATATAAAGATGGAGAATAGATCAGTGGCTGCCAGCAGTTACATATGGCCTGTTGCTGTTGTTAGGTGCCATTGAGTCAGTACCGACACACAGCGACATTATGCACAGCAGAACAAAACGCTGCCCAATCCTGGGCCAACCTCACTATTGTTGCCACGCTTGAGCCCATCGATGTTGCCAGTTGGCTAATCCATCTCGTTAGAGGTTTTCCTCTTTCCCACTGGACCCTCCACCTTACCAAACATGATATCCTTCTCCAGCGACTGCTCCCTCCTGATAATATGTCCAAAGTATGAGAGACGAAGTTTGGCTATCTTGGCCTCTAAGGAGCACTCTGGCTACACTTCTTCCAACACAGATCTGTTGGTTCTTTTGGCAGCCCATGGCACTTTCAATATCTCCTCCAACACCATAACTCAAAGGCATCAATTTTTCTATAGCCTTCCTTATTCACTGTCCAGCTTTCACATGCATATGAGGTTACTGAAAATATCATGGCTTGGATAAGGCGTACCTTAGTCCTCAAGCTGACATCTTTGCTCTTCAACACTTTAAAAAGGTCTTGTGCAGCAGATTTGCTTAATGCAATACGTCGTTTGATATCTTGACTGCTGCTTCTGTGAGTGTTGATAGTTGATCCAAGAAGAATGAAGTCCTTGACAACTTCAATCTTTTCTCTGTTGATGAGAATGTTGTTTATTGGTCCAGCGGTGAGGATTTTTGTTTTCTTGACATTGAGATGCAATCCATACCGAAGGCTGTGCTCTTTGATCTTCATCAGTAAATGTTTCAAGTCCTCTTCACTTTCAGCAAGCAAAGTTGTATCATCTACATATTGCAGTTTGTAAATGAGTCTTCCTCCAATCCTGATGCCATGTTTTTCTTCATAGAACCCAGCTTTTCATATTATTTGCTCAGCATACAGGTTGAATAAGTATGGTGAAAGAACACAACCTTGTCACACACCTTTCCCAATTTTAAAACATTCGGTGTTCCCATGCTCTGTTCGAACAACTGCTTCTTGGTTCAGGTACAGATTTCTCAGAAGTACAATTAAGTGTTCTGGATAGCAATCCTCAGCATTTAATCCGAAATTTAAGTTTCAGCTCTTCAGTTAGCATAGCACTATAATAAGCACTGCTGATTGTTGAACCTTTTCCCTCACAGAGTTCCAATACGGACCTTTGAGAATCCCAGAAAACTGTAAGCATCAATTTTCAAGCTGATGGTTGACTTTCGAACATTTCTTGGTCACTATGAGTCAGAACTGACTCAATGGCACTTAGCAAAATCAACATTTTTATATTAAAGTTGTTATCACAGGTATGGTATCTCCGATGAACCCTGTGAGCTGTTCCAGTGAGTATCAGACCCAAAGGCACATGAGGAACTGGCAGGTCTGATGTGAAAGGAGTCATGTGGCATCCTGAGTTTGCAACTGATACCACCTTACCCAGTCTCAGGTGACTGGGAATGAGAGAGAGAAGGGGTAAGCTTGTTTGAAGTAGAGGGAGTCAAGACCACTGACCCAGGGAGGCTGTGTGAATAGCTGGGGTCTAAACTGAACAGGGAAGAGAAACTGAGATATTCATAGTATACAGTTGGCATGTGGAGCTGGATCTGATGTCAAATTGTCCAACACACAATTTGACATCAAAGGTGAGTGATCTTAGTCTCCCTGGACACAATTGGCATATTGTTGTTGTTAAATGCTGTCAAGTCAATTCTGACTCACACCAAACCTATATACGGTTTCCAAGGAGCGGCCAGCGGGTTTGAACTACCAACCATGTAGTTAGTAGTCCTGTGCTTATCCTACAGTGCCACACCAAGACTCTACAATTGATATATTCAGAAGGATTCACCTGAGCAGCCACTGAAAACATAGTACTCAGCAATAAAAAGGAAGTGTTGATACATGCAACAACTTGTTTTAATCTCCAACTAATTTTGGCTAATGCAAAAACACCATCAGAGAAAAAAATACATATTACACGATTCCATGATAGAACATTCTTGAAACAACAAAATTATAGAGATGGAGAAAAGACCAGTGGTTTTCATGAGTTAGGGACAGGGCAAAGGGATAGAAAAGGGAGAACTGAGCGAGGTGGGCTATCAAGAGGCAATATGAGCGATCCCTGTAGTGATGACACTGTTCTGCATCTTAAGGGGATGGTGAACATACCAACATGCAAGCAAATAAACTGGACAGAACACACAAACAAATGAATACTACTGGTGGCACTGAATGATATCTCTGAATTGTACCAATGTAGATCTAACTGATTTTATTTCTATAGCTTTGTTTGCATGGTTTGGGGAAATGAGCAAGCATAAACGGGATCTCTGTGTTTTACTTCTTGCATGTGAATCTAAAATTATCTCAAAATAAAAATTTAATTTAAAAGAGCGTAATAATCAAAGCCATCATTCTTTACTAGTTAAGCTAACACACTGTTTGGTTTTAAGAAAAACTCAAGGGATATTTTTGATATAAGGCTTAAAAATTCTCAGGGCAATAGTTTTAGAGGTTCTTCCATCCTCCATTGTTTCAGAAAGTCTAGATTCCATTAAAATTTGTGATTCTGTCCTGCATTTCCCCCTTTTTGATCATGACTCTTCATAGAATCTTTGATCAACATGTGCAGCAATAGTAGCCGTGTACTCTCCAGCACTTCTGATCTGATGGCAGAGGAGGCAGTTGTTCAAAAAGTCAATAAGCCACACATTCCTATCTTCCTCTGTTGGCCATGTAAATAGAAACAAATTGCTGTGCCTTGGATGGCCATTTATAAGCTTT